CGAGTGCTCAACTTTAGTACTGGTGTTCTCCTTGCGGAGAACGGGCTGCACCAATGTCGGTCGGCTAATGAAGCAATGGTAACCATGGCTGAAAGTGAACCGTATGCATTCTGAGATAGTTCTGTCTAAAGAAGGACACTCTAACTATTCCCATAGAAGAGGACTGGACCTATGGATCATATCAGTTCTCAAAAAAACAAGGTTATTACTGTTACTCTGATAAGTGGAGGCAATGGAATGTGAAAGCTACGCGTTCAGTTTTGGGAGTAGTATCGTTTACTAATTCTCAGTTGCTTTCGGCCTCACCGCGAGCTTCAAATCTGACAACAGTTGAAACAGTTGTATTAGTAACGCAGTGTTCACCTACTCTCTGAATAGAGGATAGCAACTGTCTTTTGTCGTCTGTCTTTGATTAGACAGATTTTCCTTAAAAGCACAAAGATGTCTGCTTCAATCCTTGATTGCCACTGTCGCGTAATATCATAATTTCCAGGGTTCATGAAAGAACATAACGGCTATGAAAAATAATATTTACCATACGTCATTCTGGCAGTAATACCTCATACGTTCGTTGCCCATTCTCTTAGAAAAACAAATGGGCTGAATTTATGGAGAGGCAGCAGTCAGTAAGACTAAAGACGCTGTGAGATGGTGTATAATCCGTCCGTCATATGTCTGAAGTTACTTAGTGTTGAAAAGGTTCCCGATGTGCATTCGACTATTATGCTCAACCAGCAGACCAAAAGTTAATTGCACACTTGCCTTGAGACTTAACAGTCTGCGCTTTACAAACCGCGCATGAACAACTGTCTTCTTCTGCCATATCCAGAAACGGCTCATCATTAGTAAGCGATTTCATCACGCCGTTCATGTAAGGGCTTCCACTGCCTAAATGCCCTACAAGTTCATAATCCACTGAAAAACGCATGACACCTGTCGAGTCGATAGGCGGCTTGGCAGGAACTTCGTCACGCGAATTCAGAGACTGTTCCATTTTTCCTATAAACATTATCTATAAACGGCTATTACTGACGGCTAAAATCCTACGGCATGGAAAAATGAATACTTCAATTAGCGAGTATGCTGGAGACCACCTGTTTAGAGTAGAATTTTCCACTTGAAAGCTCAAACTACTATTTCAATGTTGTTCACGTCTTTTTAATGATCAAGACATTGAAAATCCTATGAAATATAGTTGTTCCTGCGTTAGCAATGGTCGTTACTCCTCTGAAAAAAATCATGTCATTACCCGGATCTGTGTCACTGACTAAACACGGCAAGTCGCTCGCTTTATTCAGAACGACGTTCCGGCGCATAGCACAGCTTACCTGGATGCTGAATAACACGAAGATATCTCGCCTTCCTTAATATCTCTTTTAGAAAGTAAAAAACGGTGTTCATTTGTGAATGAAGAAGCATTTAAGTAGAACAGCTGGTTTTAAACCGCGTTCTTCTGTAGAGCATTTCTGCAGTTCTGGAGGATAGTAAAAATTATAACCGAATACAAACTTTTGATAGACTACCATGAAGACTGTATGAAATGATCAAAATAAGGAAATGCACGACAGTTGCAAAATAAAGGCATTTTCTTCATCAGGGAAAGCATGCTATGACTCCAAAAATGACAGATTAACGAGGCAACGATACCAAAGATTGACAGAGTTTTTATGCATGGCAAAGCAGTTCTGTGTAGAAGAAATGTTCGATTAGACATATAAACTATACTATTGTTACCATCATTTTCACATAAGGCAAAAAGCTTTGACAGCAGAGCACTCGAATCTGGTTGTGTGCGATCGTTTGAAATGGTTTCTCAGACTGCAACATACCAGCGACCATGAATATGATCTAATTCGAAGCAATGAACGCAGTCTAATACGAATCTGAGGTACCATTTTAAACGGACGGAAAGATCGAGCCACTGTGCGTAATATTCCGAATACGGCACTGTGAAGCTTTCCATCGTGTTGCCTACTATCAAACAGATGAAACAATCTGATGGCGCGGGATGGATGGTCTCGAAAACTTGAACGAAAGAACTGAACATGATATACGCTACTTCGATGGGAAGACGGGCGGAACTGAGCAGGAAAAAAGTTGTTCAAAAATCACACTTCATACGTCATCATCTCTTAACAAAGGATGTTGCTAGATACTAACGTAACGAATGACTCCTTCAAGACCAGATACCATGGAGCAGTGGTTTGCTTATAAGCCCTCTCCTTAAACGATAGGAGCAATTGCGCAACGCAGCAACCATTCGTCACGACATACTCGGAAGTACGAATACATCATGGCGTAGATTTTAGATACGAAAATACTATATTTTGAACGATTTAGTTGGTTATAGGACTATTTTGAAGAACAGCTCTCTTCTTTAAGGTTAATTAACTTTCTTTAGACTTTTCGAAAAGCATATAACATTGTTTGTTTAAAGCTTTTCTTATATTTACACATTCGATATGAATGCTGCAATCTGCAGAAGGTTACAATGTTAATGGTACAATATTCTGAGAATGATGTCCACAATTTCGCTTCAAACTGTGCAAAGATCACAAATAAATTTCAATGATTAGTATGCAAGGATTGGGTACGGTAACAAAAGCAAGAAAAAATTACTTTTCATTAACTGTAGGTCCTCATGAAGTCTTTCGCACTCTGCTTCCTTGAGACCTAGTTTTTCTATAAAACAGAAAGTAAAACATGTTTCTGGCTATAGGCGATGATACTCAGTAACCTCGGAATGCCTCCACCTGTCCGGTCGTCAAGCTCAGCCGCATCTGATATCTCTCCAGCTCCAGGTTTTGATTCTCTTTTTCTTTTGCCGCTTGCTCATATTGCGTTTTGGTTATCTGACAGTCTTCTAGAAAGGAAAACAACGCTCGTTAGCTTCTTACCGACGAAGACTGAATTATGTCGAACAGCTGCAAATCAGACAATGAGTTTCATGACATCGAAATAAGGGCATTAGATTGTAGGATTGTGAAAGACAGAAGCAACAAGCATAATCATCTGTCACATATCGATATGTTCGTATTTACATTTGCATGAAGTTTACACATATTCTTATTTCAAACTTTAGCGTCAACGTCAATGAAAAAACGGACTATGCCTTATTTGAGAAGCAGAAACAATCTGATTGTACGACTCGCATAGAAAAATAAAAAAACCTTTGTTTAACAATACTCCAACGTTTCGACCTAACGATCTTCAATATTTATCAAGAAGACTGAAGAGTAATTTCAGTAAAATATGATACGGTACTGTTCTGAGATTTACAAGTTAACTATATTTCGTCGAAAATTCCTACTAATCCAGTGTCTTCTTCCTAAAGATAAGTCGCAATGATTCGCTGATTAAAAGCTAAACAGGAAACCGATAACATCGTCCAATTTGTATTTATTCCCTGGAACACAGAAAACAAAACTTGTGTCTCAGACTGCGATTCAAAAGGATCTTTCTTTTGTGCACTAATTCATATTTTTAGAGTCTCAATGGTTTTTCCAATATAAATATGTTCACAATCATTACATTTAACAGAGTAACAAATATGTACATTTGAAAGCGAGACGATGATCCAACTTCATTTACAATACAGATTGCTGTGCATATACAGTGTGTATTTGTTTCAATAGAAACCATCATTTAGAACCGTTCTGCAGAAGCAGAACATCTCTAGTTTGTGAAGTCCGCAGTATTCGCACGTATTCAACATTTTTTCCATTAGGCACCGATGAATGCTTGCTACCAGAAAATGTATCTCTCTGAAAGCAGATCTGCTTTCATGTTCTTTCTACGTGTTCCATCTTGGCTACGTAATTCACGTCTACTGCGTTTCAGCTCTCACGTGTGAAATTCACCACAATATATGCTCAACCAGTCTGTCAAGAGGGTTAACCTCCTTTTCGTAATCTGCACAATTGCTGCGGTTACCTGCCCAAGAAGACAACAATCATTCTTTACGTGGTCCTACCATTTAATCCTCATCATGCATCAAAGCTAACGCTAGTGTACGCTGTTCAGCCGGCAGTCCTATTCCGTCCTTAGATAAACTATCTAAATGCCGTACAACAACAGTACAATGTGTAAAATATGCCAGTGTTGACCCTCTAGAGAAAAACACACTGAGCTTACTCTGTTCTGATGAATATGCGGATTCTTTAGATACATCGAAAATAAAAGGAATAAAAACGGAATTATTGTAATTAATTTCATGTGAAAGTCAAAAACAGGGATGATGAAAAACAATGAATCAAGTCTTCTACTATTACATCACCTTCCGGAAAATCGGATATTCAGATTATTTACTAACGTCTACTTGCCTTCATTCCACACGCATCCTCAATTCTAACAAACAAGCATTCTAAAGTGCGGAAAGTCATGAACACCGTCACTCAAAGAACCACTACCGATCTGTCAAACTAGAAATAAGTTAGCAGAATATTCAGAGGCAACATCCCCGCCAGAAATACACAAATAATTCCTAAGGAATTCCAGCTCAAATGCAAAAAAATTCCATGATCGCAGAAAACATTACGCAGGAAGGATAGACTCAAAGGGACAGAACGCATCGGCCTCGCTAGCAAAACACAGAATAGAGTTAGCACTCCGGATCGAAACCACTCAGCTGCTGCGATCGATGACTGACTTCACAACCATCACTCGCTCACCAAGCATACGTCTAAGAAAGTCAAATCTTTGAAACAATTTACAATTCTTGCCATTAGGCTGAAGATGCAAAAAATAGAAAGGGATGAAAACGGAAATACGATTGCAACGAAGAGCAATAAACAGAAAAATCTTTTTCCATCCCCAGCATAAATCGGCTAAATGTCATTCTGTTTTCAGCACGCGCAGCAGAACGAGTACATTTACCTAAACGAACACATTTTCTGAACTGCGGGAATTATTTTTCTTGCAATACGGTACATATACTGTATAATATAACTGTTGATACTAATCGACAGGTGCTGCATAAGAATCTCTGTAACATGTACCAAATTTCATTACCGATTCCAGTCAAGGAAAACTAATTAATTAATAGACTAGCCTTTGCACTTCGTCAGCTGGTCTTCGACCGCATGCTGGGCCTGCAGCGCCTCAGACAGTTGGATGCACAACTCCCTGCAGTGATCGCACTGCCCGATTCCTGAGTCCGTGATGCTTTTGTGTCCGCTATACATACTGCCGGAAAGGTTCATATCCTCAATGTTGCCGTTGATCGCCATACGTTGCGAGTGATTGACGCAAATCATCAGTTTCAGCTTAGTCTCCAGCAGATGAATTTGCTCTGAATATTTATGCAAAATAAATTATTTTATTAACTGAAAAAAGTGCATGCGAAAAGCGACGATCACTCACCTTTCAAAAAGTTGACCAACTCTTCGTTTTTCAGTTTCTGATAGACAATGTCTTCAAACCTTGCTGAATTGCGTCAGTTTAAATTACGGTACAAAGTACATATACTCACTCATGATGTCAGAAACCGCCTGACCAACAAGAATGCCCAGACGGTCGTCGGACGCGACTAACATGTCTAAACATAAATTTCTATACAAACAAAAATGGGTGTTTCGATATTCACACAGACATTTGAATAACAGTTAAGTTGATACGGTTTTAGCAATACGTTCGCTATTTCTTGAAAAAATGTACAGGTTATGACTGTACTGAATAATGAGCATAATTCAACAACCAATTTGCATGACGTTAGTTGATCAGTCTTTGCCTATATATGTGGAGACTCTATACATAAACAGTGGGGCAAAATAGTTCACAATCGTCATTTTTAAATTAATTTCTTGATGCAGCTGTGGCATGCAATAGTTTCCTTTGCCAAGCTGCAGCTGAATGCTCTGCCATTCATTTCCTTAAAGTTTTGCAAAGCTCCAGTGCCGATTTTAGATTTCTGATATGTTTCTGTCTCCATTTCTCTTCATTTTAACATCATTTCTTTCGTTTGGTTCATACTTTTTCAGTCAGCCTTTATGATCCTTCTTTCAGACATGTTTTCCGCCGTTTCCGAAACGGCCTTCTTAGTCCTACAAAGTCCCATCTGATTTTACTGAGCTCTTCTTTCAGCCCTTAAAGCCTTGCTTCACCTAGAAATTATACGCAGTTAATACATCACCGGCGTTGGTAAACCGCAGCAGCTCTGATTCGTAGCCCGGGTATTCTTTGTAGCCTTCACTTTCATTTCTGGTAGCCTACTGCCCTCACCGGCTGGCAATCCAGTCTTCAGAGAATGGGGGTCGTAAATTCAGTTGAGAGTTCATCATGGAGGATCTGTCCATAACTCAACACGCAGACTAGACCGGCGCCCTCCACGCCTGGACGGGTATATTTCTTAAGCTTTCACACACGACTGAACCTACCAGCGTTTAAAAGCTCAGAATCGTTTGGAGATACCATTGTTACCCAAGCAAAATGCTGAGGCAGTGGAATCAACACTTAGAAGAGAAATTATTTGATTATTATAAAATAATCTGAATTCACGAATGATGATGATATCGACAGATGCCTGCTAGAAAATGCTTAGGCGAGCTCCGGACGTACAGCTCGTTTCTAATATACAATCAGCAAACAAAATGAGCACTGCTGCTGATTTGGCTGTATAATAACATGAACGGGTGGCCCTGAACTGGTCTTTGGGAACAAAGGATGAATGGCCAACAGTACAAATTAAGCAAATCGAAAACATAACTCCCATGTTATGGGGAAGACTCCATGAGTTTAGCTTTCGATACATTA